TAATAACAAACTAGATGAATTACTAGAACTAATTAACTAGTATGTTTGAATAAGTTTTAGCTCTTCCATTTCATCATGTGAAAAACCATAGGATTTGCAAGCTGTCTTGAAACATGTAGTTCCTGTTTCAAGCTTTATCTTTTCTTGCGATTTTGGATTTACTTGTTTCGATTTATGGTACCCCGAGCCGATAACAATATCAATAGAATGGGAATATTGGTCATTGATGTTTATATAAGTTATGGGAAATACAACAAGTAACTTGATTATATATATTTCTTATATTTCAGATAGGATCGGGTCGAGATACTGCATATAAAAAAGAATTATTTAATGGAGAGGCATACGTGTTGACATCTTTCTGTGATGAGCACGGGGATGAGCATGTTATGTGATGTTAGATATGGCATGATTGCACCGCATATTGCTACACTCCAACACAAAACTGTGTCAGTCACATCTTGTCAAAGGAGAATATTGCCTATCATATCTTACTATCTATCATATGTAAGACAAACCAAGAACTACTTTCTACAAGGAACGCCGTGTTGATATTCTGCATGATCTGGGTGAAGGTGAAACTCAACAACTCATACCATTCAACATACCACTAACTGGTACCAGTGTGGTAAACATAACAGTAACTTTTGTAATAGACTTTAAAATCAACACGATGAAAATTCCAATAGACTTATAATCAAACTGTATTCATATTTGTGATTTTTCTTTTTTCTATGAACTTTGCATGTAGGTCTCTTCAGACTAGTTCAAAAATTGAATTATGGGCTCACATTCCCAGGTAGAGAACATGAACATGTAAACCCCTATTGAGGTGACATATGTTTCTGATTGGTCAAAATCGAAAAACAAAATGTCGTCCTCAAAACTTTCGAAATACGCTTCGAATAATATTTTTTGTTCATTTTTTGCATGTTGACCAATATCATAACTTTCACATCAACATAAATATAGATGTACATAATATGCCTACATGAATTTAACACCACATCAGGGTGTAGATATGCCATATTTTGTCTTCCATGGATAATGAATAAAAATCGTTTATCAAAGTTTATCGAGAGTATATGATTTTGACCACTCCAACAAGAATTTTGATATGTCATTAACCTTATCATATTTATATTTATTATAGTCATAAAAAACAATGCTCAGTTGTGATTCTTCCAATGTATGAAGACTGTACGATCGCTTCGAAAAGAATTATCTCAAATAGTAACATTCGAGTAGAATGTGTGCATGTAGATGTGTAAAACTATGCATTAGGTTAGTGTTATAAATCTTTTACTTGTCATAGTAATCAAAAATAATTATCAGATTTTTACAGTGTTTTATATTGCATCATGGCATTTACAGACACTCACAAAGTTACCATTGTACAAGTAGCTACGTTAGGCTACACAACGGGGCTTCACAGATGTACTTACGATGGTACTAAAAATAACACATATAGAATACGATAAAGCGCTGAATGTATACTCAGTTGAGTTATTGTTCGGGGATAATCATCACTGGTGATCCACTCGATTACGCTGGTTACCAAAACGATTCCTTTCGTTTTGGTAACAAAATGTCGGAACATCGAAGGTACGATTTTACTTTTTTCCTTATTTCACACGTTGTAGGCAGAATTCCGACGACATTTTTAACACAAACGTGTATCAGTATCATATGTTTAAGAAAATGTACATATTTGCGAACAAATAGTTCAGAAGACAACAGAATCGTCGATTTAATTTCTCACTTAAGTTACATAAACGGTTTTTCGAAAAACAGTTAAGATCTGCACTTAAGTGAGGAATTAAATCGACGATTCTGTTGTCTTCTGAGCTATTTTTTCGCAAACATGTACATTTTCTAAAACATATGATGCTGATACACGTTTGTGACAAAAAACGTCGTCGGAATTCTGCCTACAACGCGTGAAATAAGGAAAAAGAAAAATCGTACCTTCGATGTCCGACATATTGTTACCAAAAACGAACCGTTTCGGTAACCAGCGTAATCGAGCGGATCACCAGTGATCATTGTACAACTAAAATTAATTGAATTCAATTTTTGAATTGAAACAAAATACAATAATAATGTTAACATATAGAGTATGTTAAATAGCTAATGAGTCCTGATAAATCATGACATCTTATTTCTTCTCCAGTCCTAAAACTGTGCATCTGTGCCTTTGTTAATTTATATGTGGTTGAATACAATGCCTATTATGTAATGGATTGACATTAAGGTATATGATAACTATCACACTTATTGACAGTTATAACACATCCCATCTGATGTGTTCAGATCACAGAATATGCCTAATAAAATCAAAGCAAGTTTCGGTTGAAACAGAAGGATGTTATGAGTATCGAAATGTAATGAGTGGCTATTGTATTGCACTAGGCCATGTGGTCTCACCGTTCGGAATATCCTGCTTTAAAACTATTTGATTAGCCAACCGTATGTCCATGTCTAGTCCTGCCATCTGCAAAACGTATCCATACTGTAGCGAACGGTGAGCCCACGTGGTCTAACGTAACAGCTCCATAAAGTGTTGTAAGATTGAATTTAATAGAAAAGAAATTATATTGCATAAACGTGAATTTGCATTGTGTTTCTAGTCCTATACATGTATTCCATTAGAAAGTTTTAGAGAACGTCTTCTTTTAGACGGAATTCATAGACATATACAGTACCATTATACAAGAGATGAGCAGTCTGTAGATATTCGTTAATTGGTTATCGCACATTTGCTCCGATTCATTGCTCGGCGGCCGACAGATTAAATATTCTGTTCAAAACTGAATGCAATTGTCAGCAGGATACTCAATCGGCCGGACGCCGGCCGATAAATCTGAGCAAATGTGACCAGGTGTGAAAAGAAATGATCCCCCAGGGATTATGGTCCCCTTTCTTAACGGCCCTTATTGGCCCAGATTGCGTATAAGATAATGAGGGAAAGAGTTTAGGTCACCATATAAATCAATGGAGAGTAGGACCATAATTGATAGAACCTCCTACCCGTTTACACCAGGCATTAATGTTTTTATCCATCCTTGTATAGATATGCTTTCGTTGTTAATATTGATTCACTATTTTATAAATGCCTCGCATCTTATGAACTGTAGCTAGTTTTGAATAGATAAACCCTGGTAAGTTCTTAAAATGCTGCAATTTCAATTAGGGGCAATTCTTCATATATCTTTTGGCCATAAGTTTCAGCCAGTCTAAGATTTCCCTTTTCAATAATATGTATTATAATAGCCCCGCTTGGAATTTTAATCCTATTTCTGCAGCAACGCTAACTATACTTTATCTGTAAAATGCCTGTATTTCATATTTATATGATTGTTCCATTGTTTCAGATGGAATTATGATAACAATTTCCATTTGCTTGAAAAAGATTTATTAAATAAGAAATATTGCAGACCAAAACATTTTGATACATATTTATATGATGAAAATGTTTAACAAACATAAATGGCCGTCAATAAACTAGAAAAATAAAATAAATGAATAATCTAAGTAGTCCTGAATGGCTTATCACCACTTTCAAGTTATTTATTCCGTGGCACTGGATTTGTTAATTATACTACGGATCGTAACTGATTATTTCGGTCATAACATGTCGAATGTCTTTAACTGGTAAATAGGGATATTACGACCTGCCCAGTTCATGTACAACTAACTTACCGCAAGTTAGTCGACAAGTTAAATGGTTCCAATAAGCGATGTTTCAAAAATATATGATTTTCTATCGTTTTACGTTTTGGCGAATATAAACTAAAGAGGTTACTTCGCTAGAGCTTTTGAATTCTTCTATTAATTGGTAAAATACTTGTTTTCTCTTCAAAGTACAGTCAATCGTATATTACATATGAATTATAAATATATACAATCAAAATCAAAACGTTAACGAACATGTATTCCAAGAACCCAATTTTCTTCAACTTATGATATTACAAGCAACACTATAATCTTACAGTTGCCGAACAGCACCCATCTGGACATCCTTTTCTTCATTTGATACATATTTTATAATGTAATTTACATTTTGATTGTGAAAATTCTCCCGGCGCAACGTCTGCCGGTGATCGGTTGGCAGTTGAAAAATACCGTAATCGGTAGGCACCCATAAGGTGAATCTGAACTTATGTGAGCAAAGCATAAACGATAAATCATGATCATAAATCATGATACGCAGGTAAACCGAGAATGCGAGATAAAGGTACGTTTTAATAAATCCGTAACCCAATATTTTGTAGCTCCCAGTGTGAATAACGTAATGCGTTAATTTCAGTCAAAATCAAATAATTCGATGGAACAGCATTTCCCTCTATAAACTTATCATCGGTTCAAAACCATAACATAATGGGTCAAACCTCAGGAATTCCCGGGGATCTCAGCCCCCCTATACTTTAACATGGAAAAATTGATGAATGGGGAAAAAAAATATTTCTGATCAGTTAAACAAATATGTGTCCACATTATGTAAGACTTTAGATAATTAAAGACCTAGAAACAAAATATTTTGTTTCTATAATTATATAAAGGGCATTATATTTAACCACAAAGAAAGGGTTAAACCTGAAAAACGAGTTCATCGATTCGCCAAAAAGGTTGTAGAAAAATCCATTTTGATGATTCAGAAATAATATTTTAGAATATGAAAATTCACCTCATCTCCTAAATTGTGTTACAATTTTATATTGATCATCGAAATAATAAAAAACTTATACCCATCTAAAAAGCTCTCTCTATCGAGCCTCTTCCTTTTGACCCAATGTAATGGAGATAATATAACATTGAAACGTTGCGGACTTTATAGTGAATAGAATCAAGATACAGATTTATTTTCTTTATTGGGATTTCTTTTGTTCCCTGCTTAGAAAACAGTCGTTAAACAAATATGGGGATTAACATGTAAACCTATGAGGTCCTTAACTTTTTTTGAGGAGTATAATTACAAAACAACAAGGACTGGTACTTACAAAGTGAATGTATCTTTTCATAAACATTTCTAGATCTTGATACTTCTTGAAGGCAAAAAGGTGAAGCTGAAAACAATATGTGGGGAAATGTGACAGTGATAAAAATGTGAACATTAAAAATGTGAAAACTGAAATATGTGAAAAACAGAGTAATGTGTATACATTAAAAAAAAACATTAAAATATCAAGACATGTAATCATTAATCATGCTCTCAAAAGGCTAAGGTTTAAACGTTTCAAAATATTAAGGAGCTTTGGGAGTTCAAAACTGCCAATTTTGTAGAACAGGTACTTACCAAAAATTGGCAATTTTGCCAAAATATCAGACACAAATTAAAATTAAAAAAACAATGTAATCATAAAAATTATTTAATGATAATGAAGATACAATTTTCAAGAAATAATTACCCTTTCTGTGATATTATCATCTCTGTACATATTGTTGTTAGGGAAACATGGTTGGTTGCCATGGAGACATACTTGGCAACCATTGTTTTCTCCTGCTCTCCATAACATTTGACACAAACTTTCAATCAGAGCTCGTCTCCTTTCAAAATTAGTTGGTTTAAGACTAGACCTAAAATAAGAATTGTTTTGATGAGATGACCTAAATTCAGAACTCCATTCTTGAAATTTATATCCAATTACCTACTGAGATTCTAGGTATATACTATGCCGGAATATAGAGTGTATGCCTGAGACAGGATGGATATTTCTGTATCTATCCCACTATCCTGATGTTCAGCACATACAGCTGTATCCATCCTGGTCCCACTCCATACTATCTTTAATAATTTGATAAAATTTATTTTTTTAAGTTTTGAAACCTAAGAAGGTAAAATGTACCTAGAAAATCAGTAGGCATGGGATAAATCTGTTACATGTATGGTGGTTTGAGATACAGATATAGATCTACTACATGACTATAGATATGCTCCTTCAATTACATGTCACATCTCATTATTTTTTCTTATTTTACAATGAATTCTAAATGAATGAATGTAATACACAAAACAATGAATTACAAAACTCACTCTGACTTGAATTCATTAAAATGTGCAAAATGCAATAGCAGGGCTGACAAATTTAAGAAATCTTGACCTAAAATAACACATAAACCTAAAGTAACACAAACACACACTAAAATGACATTTTTCATTTTTGGATTGCTGCAATGTTACGTTGCTATAAGCTAAGGTACAACAATGGAGCACTTTTCAGGCCATGATTTTGAAAGAATTTTTGGCCAGGAGGGAGGGGGGGGGGGGTTCGCCCTGCTAAAATTACACGTTACTTTAGGTTTATGTGTTATTTTAGGTCAAGATTTCTTAAATTCGCCCTGCGAACCCCCCCCCCCCTGGCTACAGGCCTGCTTTTTTCATGATTTTGTATCCCATACAGTTATTGCTTACAATTTCTGCGGTTTATCTCCTTGAGAATGTCTGTGCAGCAGGTTTCTAATAATATGTCCCTGAACAGCCATTAAAAGTCCCCTGCTGCCATTCTGAAACAAATATCAAAATTATATAATTATTGCAAGAGAAAAGAATGATGTCTTATACATTGTAAATCTAGAAAATAAAACTACACGTATTGGACTGTACCAGCAATTTACAAAAAGATAATTTACATCAAGGCCATCATTATTTCACAACTTTTGTCTGTTGCCAAGGAAACACTGTTTGTTGCTATGAACAGTGTTGGTGGCTACGGAGATATGCTTTTCAAACCATTATGTAGCAACATTCAGTCCTGGTAACTGATGTAGTTGTACTTATATAGAATAGTATTATATTGAAGGGGAAATTGTAATTAACTAAAGAGCCTAATGGGATGACTTATGAGTTAAGAAAGTTTTGCAAGTCCATGTGTATCATTCTTGCTATGTCAATGCTTGGTAAAGTTAATGAGACATATATTATTAATTTTATAACTTTGATAAATCATCAAGGCACTTACTCTTTCTGATTTGAGTCCATAACTAAATGGACCACTGATATCTTGGAAGACAAATCCCATGCTTTTCCAACTACTGCCAAATGAATGAATACTTGACCCATACACCACCTTTCGTAAAGCCTGAAAATGATTTCACATTTATAAAATACACCACCTTTCGTAAAGCCTGAAAATGATTTCACATTTATAAAATACATCACCTTTCGTAAAGCCTGAAAATGATTTCACATTTATAAAATTCACCACCTTCCTTAAAGCCTGAAAGATTATTTCACATTTATAAATCTCACCACCTTCCTTAAAGTCTGAAAGATGATTTCATTTTTATAAAACAAGAACACAAATGTGTACAAAATGTCCCCACCTATGGGTGATCCCGTCAAATGGTTATCCTATAAATGAGTAGACAAGACTTTACCGACACAATTTGAGGATGGAAAATTCAAAATGGCCACCTTAAAAATTACCCAGAATGCCCAAAAACTAATCTGTACTAGATTTTCATACTAAGAATCATCCCTGAAAATTTGAAATTGATCTACCAAACGGTTCACCTGGAAATGCGTAGACAAGACTTTACAGAGAAGATTTTAGGACGGAAAATCCAAAATGGCTGCCTTGACATTTACCTAAAATGCCCCAAAACTAATCAGATCTAGATTTTCATACTAAGAATCATCCCTGAAAATTTGAAATTGATCCACCATACGGTTCACCTGAAAACACGTAGACAAGACTTTACAGACAAGATTTTAGGACGGAAAATCCAAAATGGCTGCCTTGACATTTACCCAGAATGCCCAAAAACTAATCTGTACTAGATTTTCATACTAAGAATCATTCCTGAAAATTTGAAATTGATCTACCAAACGGTTCACCTGAAAATGCGTAGACAAGACTTTACTGACAAGATTTTAGGACGGAAAAATCCAAAATGGCCGACAATAAAAAAGTGATTATGAGTTTTTGCTGATTTCTTTCTACAAAATTATCACATATAACTACTATTAACAATAACATAGGCTTTTAAAACAAAGTACACCTGAAATTATTTTAAAGCTACTAAATAGTTAAAGTATGAAAACTGAAAAACACCATTCAATATGATACAAAGTATTATAGCGCGCTAACTTTTCTTTAAACATTCAAAATGGCTGACATGACTGAGCTAACAGGTCCAAAACCTAATCAGATCTAGAATGAAGTGAGCTGAACAAGATGTTAAAGTTTTAAAAGCAACTGTGAAGCCGTTTTTCTTAAAGTTTGCAGACAAGGATTTTAGCATTTGACTTCAAAATGGCCGACAGGAAGTAGGTATCGAGCTAATTTTTTTTCATCCACATCTATATGCACTCATGAGTTATCCCTGAAAATTTGAAGGTGATACCTGTAGCGGTTTTGGAGAAAACTGCCGGACAGATGGACAGGCAGACAGACGGACATCTTGTAATATATAGATACACTGTCCCACATGTTTTGTTAAAGAGCAACTGAAGCATACAATCTTTCCACAAAGATAAATTCAGACCGACATTTGGATATCTACATCATATAGGTAGATTATAATTGATTTTATTTATTTGTCATATCCAGTATTTAATTTATTATAGGTTTAAACCCATATTAATATTGAAGTCATATTTGGTAAGTTAAAATCCAGTATATATTAATTATAGGAAATACCCATATTAATATTTAAGTCATGATTGGTAAGATAAAAATCCACATTAGATATAAAAGCAGGTTCTTCAGGCTTGTGACTGGGCATAGGTGGACAGACGGACAGACGCGCCTAGGCCGACAATATGGCCCCACACTATGTGGTGGGGACATAACAAACCACCTTCCTTGAAGCCTGAAAGATGATTTTCCCATTTATAAATCTCAACACCTTCCTTAAAGCCTGAAAATGATTTCACATTTATAAAACACACTGCCTTCCTTAAAGCCTGAAAGATGATTTCATATTTATAAATCTCACCACCTTCCTTAAAGCCTGAAAGATGATTTCACATTTATAAATCTCACCACCTTCCTTAAAGCCTGAAAGATGATTTCATTTTTATAAAACAAACCACCTTCCTTGAAGCCTGAAAGATGATTTCCCATTTATAAATCTCACCACCTTCCTTAAAGCCTGAAAGATGATTTCATTTTTATAAAACAAACCACCTTCCTTGAAGCCTGAAAGATGATTTCCCATTTATAAATCTCACCACCTTCCTTAAAGCCTGAAAAATGATTTCACATTTATAAAACACACCGCCTTCCTTTAAAGCCTGAGAGATGATTTCACATTTATAAATCTCACCACCTTCCTTAAAGCCTGAAAAATGGTTTCACATTTATAAAACACACCGCCTTCCTTAACGCCTTAATGATTATTTCCCATTTAAAAATCTCACCACCTTCCTTAAACCCTGGAAATGATTTTGCATTTATAAAACACACCCCCTTCCTTAACGCCTGAAAGATGATTTCCCATTTATAAATCTCACCACCTTCCTTATAGCCTGGAAATGATTTCACATTTATAAAACCCCCTTCCTTAAAGCCTTAAAGATGATTTCACAGTTATAAATCACACCACCTTGCTTAAAAACCGAAAATAACCTGAAGGATATTTTAACATACCAAAGCCTGAAAGATGATTTTACATTTACTAAACACACCACCTTCCTTGAAGCCTGAAAGATATTTCTACAACACACCATCTTCCTTTGAGTTTGAATAAAACAATTTCATTAGAAAACATAAGAAAAACCAATGGACCAGGTAACGTTTTGATGTCTTAATACCTTTCAGACTGAATTCCTCCAATATGTAAGTAAGAACCAATGAACATTAAAAATAAATTCCCTTCTAAAAATCATTAGAATTGTGAAGATGCATGGCTTTAACTAACTGGATAATTTGGCTATCAGGTTTCAACAATGACATATTTTAGTTTGATACAATGTCATATTTTAGTTTGATACAATGCCATACTTTAGTTTGACACAATGAGTTATTTTAGTTTGATACAATGACATATTTTAGTTTGATAAAATGACATATTTTAGTTTGATTCATGAAAGAATTTGTTTTACACAGCATATACAGAAATACTGAGTGGAATGTTTAATCTTTTTATAATATTCAATATTCATTGAGTGTACTTACAATTGCTGTTTCTATGGTGATGGGTGTTCCATCTTCCACCGTGTTGTTTCTGGTTGTTGTCACGGTAACATTGGAAACTGTGTTAGCTGCAAGGGAAAATATTTACATATAATACAAGTGCGTGATACAGGGGTTGCCATTTTAGTAAAGGGTGTAAATACGTTTCTGTGCTTGATACAGGGTATATTTAATGGAAAAGGTTAAATTATGATGTTGAATTATTGGCACCCTCCTAAGCAGGTGTCCAGAATCCGTACCTCCTTCCCCCTGCTATAAGCAGTTAGCATTTCCCCGATTAAGAACTCGCAATTTGATTGGCTGTCGCAACACTGCGACAGAAATCATGTATACGTCATCGGCGCATAATAAGATCACGTGATTCAGTTTCAATCGGGCGCGTCCAACTTGGTTATAGCAGGGGGTAAAAAGAAAGAAGATATTCTGGATTTTGAAGCCCTGTGATCGGAGGATGAATTATTGGTGTCTATCATATATTTAAGACCTGCCATCTATATATGAATATAAAGTTTAAATAACTAACGTGAACAAAAGATTAATGAGATTCTGATTGTTTTGTTCTGAGAATGCTGCTGCCATCTTTGAATAAACTCTAAATTATCAATGATATAATTATAATCTATTGTGATAACGAACACCTCCCAATCTGAATGTTTTTAACTGCACGGTGGCATTTGGATTAGACAGGTTTTACTGTATGAGTAATAGTAATACTGAAATTAAAAAAAATCTGAAGGCCTAGTCAATCTATTTTGGGAAATATTCTCAGCTATTTGAAATGAAGATCAACTTTGTAAGAAGTCTCTATAATTATTTTTTTAATTTATACAATAACATTATACTCAACTTCAGTTCAAATTCCAATGCTCTGGCCTTGGCTAATCAAAACAGTTCATTGCAATTGTTTCATCAATTATTATATTATTATATTAATATATCATAATTATTTCACATGCAAATACTGTACTGCCACTAATATTTGATGCTGTTATCTTTCACAATTTTGCAATTTTGAAAGGACGGGTGTCATTAAGAGCCCTTTTTAGCCCCCAAAGATATCTGATAATAATGCATATCATATTGAAGAAAAATCATTTGTGCTTTATAAAAATACAATTTCAGCAAATTTTGACCTTTGATGTTCACACAACAGTCATTTAAAGATCATATACCATTTTTGGTGTTTTTACAAAAAATTCTTTATTTATTGTTGTCTAAGTCAATAGTATGTAAATATTAACCAATTTAAATATATTAAAATGTAATATATGAAATACTGAAGAAAAGATACAATTAAAATTATTTTCATGGAAAGCACATAGGGCAATATTGACAAAATGCAAATGCTATTTTGGTAGGTTCTGGGCTAGCAATGGGTACATTTCTACTGTGACTGTAATGGATTACTATTGACTTTTATCAACATCACAGGGCAATATTTAAGCAACTTAAATACAAGGAAAATCAAAGATTTCCTCTCATTTCTAAAACGAGGAACAAAAGCATGAATTCAAGGAAAATAAATGATGGCCTGTGCCAATTATATAACATATGAGAAAGTTGTGGCACAGTAAAGGATATGTATAGGATATCATATGATTTTAAATGATTTTATCTTTATCTCCGAGTTGATATCAATATATTGCCAAGTTAGCATAGCGAATTAGCGCAGATATTGGTATCAATGAGTTGGATTAACACAATATCACGAAAATTCATAGGATGTTCTATTTTTCCCATAGTTCACCTCTAAAACTAAACAAAGCATATCAAAACAACATCCATTCATTCATTCATCCCCGTGATGTCATGAAATCACTATGTAACAAAACACATCATATTGGTGGTAGTTTTCAAATCCCTGCCAAAAGGTGATATCTGTGAAATATTTTCCGTATTCCACAGATATCACTTTTTCCACGCATTTGCAAAATATCATAAATATGTTTTTATGTTACCTAACAGAGCGGAACAGAGTTCAACTATGGGATAAAGAATAAAAAATAGGTACATAATTGAATTACCACTCCAAAAATATTAAATATGAGGGTTTTAAGAAAGAATATTGAATATGAGATTCAAAAAGACAAGTGGCCTCATGTCTCACGTTACCCAAACCCCAGATCCTTGATATCATATATACTTGTATACTGTATATCAATGTTATTTACTGGGAGGATTAAATATGGAGTGTATAGCAATGGTCAATACGATATTTCCAGATGGATATTTTTCCCTAGAAGCGGAACCCAAACTCAGTCATGACATAGAAGCTAACTTTTGCAATTAATAGAAACTTGTTTTTTATTATATTTTTGTATTCTATATTTGAGATGAAATAATATGAGATTCATTTCTACAAGAGGATGGAACGAATGTGAACTTGTATATTGAACTATACTCCTTTTCTGATTAAACAGAACAACATTTTATCCAAGCCAATTAAGAAAACCAAGGCCAATGAGTGTAATTTATGCCCAGTTAAATTAACACAATAACAACTTTTTGTCTGGACTCACTTATTATGTAAGAATGAATTGTATTTTTGTTTACTGCATTAAATGTCAAGTATACTATCTGTATTTAATTTCAAATGCCTATCTCACTTATCGAAGGTATACAAGAAATGTTATTTTGAAACAAATTCAGCACAACCAAAACCATGTCCACATAATACGACAAATCCAAGATGGCTGCCACAATTTTAGATCCATGGACATGTGAAGAAGTTAGAAATACACATGGTCCACAAGTTCCATCCCCAATAAAATGGGAAGTTTAAGGTTTTCACACATATCAACTCTATTCCTATATACTTTATATTTGTGGTAAGGCTTGTGATCTAGGTAAACTTAGCATGTTCATGTACCTCCTATCTTCTGAAGCTAAAAACAGAAATAGTGACTTCAATTGAGAAAAATGAATCTTATGGGCTCCATATACATTTTGAGTGGCTGTTCGGCTTAAGTTAGATAGTACTGATAATCTGAGATTGAAAATTATGTCAAGTTTAGTCCTCAGCCTCTCATAACGGATAACTTCGAGGTAATTGTGTTGTTACTGCAAAAACCTCTATTTCTTCATCACAAATCTACCATCTTTTGCATCTGTCAAAACCCCTCATTTCATTATAATTTTCAGACTTTTGCTTGTGCCATCATTAAATATATATATTCAACTTGTTATTCAGAATATTTTAAGAACTTTTCATGAATTTTTTTATTTTCACACTTTTGAAAAAATGACTAAGTCAGAGAATGGCCTCTTAATGGCATGTCCCCTTTTGCGGATATCAATTTTCGCTAATTATAAATTTTTTATAATTTTGTATCTATTTCTTTCACCATCATATCATTTCTCAAAAAAATTTCCAGCTTATTTGATTAAATGTTTTTAAAACCAAGAAATATGAATGAAACAGTACCTTCTTACCTTTAATTATTGCTATACCATGTACTTAAAGCCTTTACATGACACCTATCAGCTATCACCTGCTTCAAAAGCATAGGTGAAACTAAACTATTGAAATCAAGTGCTCACTTTAATTTTTTTTTATATTTTCTGTTTGGGAAAATCTGTTAGTTATCAGCTGCATTTTTGTCAGTCAAGATTTCTCTTCATCAAACCAAATCAAATCCAAGGAATGTTTAGTCAAATATCCAGTTGTTCAGGAATCGAACTCAATTCAAAGAATGATTAGTTCCATAGTGTAAACATATACAACTTTGAACAATATTAGTATCAGCCATTATGTTACATTAAAAAAAAAACATAATGTAAAACTGTAAAAGACTTTCATGTAAGCAGGAAATTTCTTGAAAGAATACTAAAGGTTTCGCAACAGAATTTAGACGGTCATATGTTGAATTGCAGAAATTTTCTGAAAATGTAAGGTGTGTATGTTAGGCCAATGCATTATCTAACTGTCTAAAGGAAAAGTACTCATACAGATGATAAAAAAAATTGGAGATTGAGACAGGGAAGGTGCAAAGACCCCATCAACATTTTTTTTCAAAAATGTTTTCCTGATTTTCAGTTCCTTCCATTTTTTTTTATAATGTTTTCACATTAATATGTTGCATTTGTAGACAAAGTTAACATACTAAAGAGAAAATATTTTCCTTTTAAGAGTTTATTTGTGTCTCCAAATGCAACATACTGATGCATAAAACATTTATAAAAATTGAGTAGAAGGGGAAATTTTAAATTCAACGAACATATAGGCCCACTGAGCATTTATTTTGCACAGGGCCTTTATTAGAAAGAACTCAAAATAAATGCCATTGGCTTTTATTAAGACTAAGAGGGAAATTGAAAACATTTTTCCAAGGGGACAGGCATTTATTAAGAGGGAAAATAGCTTTCCCAAGCCAGTGGGTGTTTATTTCGAGGCGTATTATCAATCGAAGAGTTGACACATGGCCTTCATATACTCATGCAATAGTATCTATCATCTCTGATTGCACACTTCTGTTTTACCTTTCAAGCATTCGATTTGGATTTTGGAATGTCATAAAGCTATGCGGTCAAAAGTAATCTTAATACTTTTTAGTGAAAATGCATTTATATTTTTAAATGCAGAATCTTGCGAATGCAAAATCCTCGAAATCCGATCACCTCCACATCTGAATGTTTTTTTTAACTGGTCATGGTGTTTTAACTGGTCATGGTGGCATTTGGATTAGACAGATATTACTGAATAAGTATTAGACAGATATTACTGTATAAGTATAATAGTATTACTGGAATTCCAAAAAATCATAACGCCTACAATGCTAGTAATATTAAGTGAAAATGCATTAATATTTTTTCAAAATCAAGAATCTTTCGGATGCAAAAACCTCGAAATCAGACGTTTAAATCTGAATGTTTTTAATTTGTAGCGGTGGCATTTGGATAAGACAGGTTTTACTGTATAAGTATAATAGACATTAATAGTATTACTGGAATTCCAAAAAATCATAAGGCCTATAGCAACAATCATGTGAACTTCAGGTCAAAATTCCAATGCTCCCTTGGCCAATCAAATCAGTTCATTGCATTTGTTTCATCAATGCTCTCAATATCA